TTTAAAAGCAGAATTGTACTTCATGTAAAATCTCAATTAAATATTCAATAAAGATAGAGGCATGGCCTCACTATTAATATTAAAAAAAAAAAAAATAATTTATTAAAAACTTTTAAATTATTTATTATTTATTAATATTAAAATAAAGAGCTATAATAATATAGTGAAGTGATTATGTTTTTATTTCCAAATGACAAATTTAAAGTTCAATTTTAGTGTTAATAAAAAGGTAAAAATTTTTTTTATATTAAAGTTAACTGTCTTTACTATTGGTTGAAATAAGATATTTGTTATTTGTATTATATTAATATAACTAAAAAATTAGATAGCATTTATATAACATATTGTTGTTTAAAAAAATACAAACCAGTACTAGGTATGTGAACTTTTCATGTCTATGTAAATCATAGAAACTAAAAAGATAAAAACCTACTTGGAAAACCCAAATAGAAAAATAACCTAAACTTTTAACAATACTGCTATAAAAACTAAATCTAGAAAATATAACTAAAACTTGTAAAACTAAGTAAAGTGTTGTTTTTGAAAAAGGATCATTATAACCAATCAGACTGCTAAAACCTTTTAGAGAAAAAGATTACATATTAGAAAATATGTAAACTAAAGATATAGTTGTATTTATCTTTTTAGACTATCTAAACTGTAAGCTTAATGAAAATTGAATTAAATACTAAAGTAATAAAAATATGTTGTAAAATAAATACTAGAGTTGAGATAAACTTTATAAAAGCATAGCAGTTTAACAATAAGCTCTGACTGCAAATATTGATTTTAGTCAAAGCATTATTAGGTTAGCAATATAAATATGATACAAAAGATTCTAGAAGATTTAGTATAAAATCAAAAAATCATCATATAAGTAAACTGTTTTAAAGACTTAATATCTATGACATATTTTTACAAATATTAACTAAGGTCATTGGTAGGTATAGGTAGATGGGTGAATATAAGAATTAAAGAGTTTAAATAAAGACCTTACATATAGGTTTCAAGTATATATTAGTATAGAAGCTTTAGGTAAACTACTTAAATTAGATAATGACTAAAGTTGTATAAGTGACAAGTTGTATACTTTTTTTATAGTTGTTATTTGTAGTTGTAATGCAACTATTAGCTAAATGTACTATCAATAAAATTCTAAGTTGCAAATACTTATCTTAATATTTAAAAAAAAATCAATATTAAAATAAGAATTTAAGGTTTTCAATTTATAATATTTCAAGACAAATATAATTAAACTGTTTTAAATAAATTAAGATTTTTATTTAAAGAAAACTATAGATAATTATTTTAATAAACTTAAATTATTTTTTTATTTTTATATACTAAAATCAAATAATTTAATAAATTAAATAATTGTTAAGTTTTCTAATAGAAACTACTATATAGTTTAAATCAAAAATAAGTCAGACTCTTATTTTAATAATATAAAAAAATAAATAGTATTAATTAAATTGAATATCTGTTTTTTATTTTATTGAGCAACTTTTGTTATAATAACTATTATTTAATATATATATAAATAATTATTTTTTTCAAAATTTTTTTTACCATTTTAACAAATTATCATTAACAAATATGAAACTGTCAAAAAAAATCTTATTAGATTTTCTAAAGAAATAAAGGTAAATAAAATATTAAATTTAATTGAAATGTTTGCTTTAATATTATAATAAATTAAATAATTGCTATTTTTTGATAGAACAATAATTTAATTATGTTATTATTATTTATAGAATTTCTGATAAGGAATAAAAAATGTAATATAAGAAAAATAACAATATATAAAATATATAAGATTTTTGGATTTGAACTAAAAAAAATTAGCATTTACAAATAATAGATAATTATAACTATTATATAAAAATGTAAATATCATAGATTAACTATTATCATACTATAGAATGCAAAAAGTAATACAAAAAAATCGAATGCCTTTTTTTCTGGTTATTAGATACTGTCATTAACATATATTAAATTACCAAAACTTTAGAATCAACCTAAGAACAAAAAAACTTCAATTAGTTCAAAAAAATTAATAATAATAAATAAAATGAATAAAAATAACAAAAAATTTTGAGCTCTTATCTCAGCTCAATAGTTGGCACCATGAAATCACTTGGTAAAATGAAAGAAGTAACATGAAGCATGTCATTGATACTCCTGATTGACCAACATAAATGAGCAAGTACGTACGTACACACATGCGTGCGCATGTGTATACGCAGTGCGTACATACTTACAACAAAGCAGTAATTTGGTCTGGATAATCCTAAAGTTTCGGGTTATTTGCATGCTTCACAGCCAGAGCAAGAACTTTTGTCTTTTACTCGAGTCGCATTTCATATGTTACACGGAAGTTTCATTGTTTTATTAAGTTATTCGTATGGTCAGGTGTTATACTCGCAAATTTAAATAAAACTTTTATAAAAAAAAATTTTTTTTTAAATAACAGCATTCTTATAGAAATTTAAGCGTACAAATTTGTACGCTTAAGTTGACGAGTTAAGGGATACGGTTAGAATAATCACGAAAAATCCATTACAGCAAAAGTTAAAATAGTGATTGAATGAACGATAATCCAAGCAAGTAAATCAATAATTAATATATAAGGCATCAGTTTTAAGGGAAAAGCGCCAAGAAATCTTCAATCTATTTACAAGTGAATTGGACTCAAAGAATGGCATATACAAAACAACGTGATACATGACACTAATATACTCATCAAAACATAATTATTTTTCAAAAATAAACTATTCCAATTCAAGTATTAAAAATATAAATTTAAATCATGAAACTATTATAGCTAAATTTTCGACTTATTTATTTACATTCTACTTTCAATCAGAATACTATTTATTTTTTCGTGATCTTGCAAATTGATTCTTTTAGCTTTCTAATATCTGCTGCAATTTCTGTATTTGAGGGCTCTTCTTCAGGGAGTTGAAGGACTTCTTTAAGATTCTTTGAAATGTAAGGTTTTTTATAACCAGACCAATTATTGTTTTGGACAATATCAATTACATGCTCACGAAGCTTAATTGTGTGACATTCATAAAAACTTTTTAAGATAAAAATAGATAAGCACTAGAAATAAGGTTTTATTTTTGCGTGTAATTGAATAACTTACATGACAAACGGAAACCAATTTTCTTTTCTTCGTTGATATGGTAGCATATATAATAACTCTATTTCTTCTAATACCTATACAATGAATTAAAAATATTAAATATAAATATATACAAATATATACGTTGCATCTAAATTGGCTACTTTAAATATCTAAAGTAACTACTTTAGATACTTAAAATAGTTACCTGAGATTACGCTGTCTAAAGTAATTACTTTAGATATCTAAAGTAGCTACTTTAGTTAAATCGCTATTTCGGATTCAACATATATATAATAATTAAATTATATAAAGATCTTACTTCAGCTCTTAGAATTAAATACGATTCTTTGGTTCGAGTATCTCTTATTGCATCACTCAGCAAACCGATAAACAAATTCATTAAGTAAATTGTTGCTCCGAAAGAAAATGTTATTGTTAAAGCAAGTAAGGTAAGGTTATTTTCTAAATCCCAATAAGAAATTGGTGTTGTGTCTCCTATTAAAATGTAGACATTTAAATGTTAGAATAATTTGCACCAATGGTATATAGCAATTTCAAAAAAGAATAATTTAAATTTTACCTGTTAGCATGATATAAACAGCAGAAATTGCTGTGCTCATCAACAGAAACATATTTGTAGTCGCAGTAGGAGGTTCAATAAGTGAAGCACTGTCTTCAATTTTACCATCAGAATCTACAGAGTTATAAGTTGTAGCCAAATTCCACGGATCATTCGGATCAGTGGAATAGCTTGGATAATCTAAAGATACATCAGTAGCAGGTCGCAATAAAATGTGCAACGAGTGTGCAAAAGCAACTAAAATAAGTCCTAATATTATCAAGAACGAAAATCCCCTTTTAGCTACTCCAAGTATCATGGAGAAATAAATACCCAAAAATTCAATTGCACGAAAATATAAAATAAATTTGACTTCTAATAATAAAGTAGAAAAGGCAGCCATTTCTGTTGGCATGACATTACTTTCGAGCCACTTAATTGACGATATTGTTGGCATTAAATATGCGCCTAAATCTTAGGTCATGAGAAAAAAAAATAATAGAATATTAGTTATAATTTGATAAATAATTATTGGGGATTATGCTGAAATGGATTATACTGAAAATTTTGTGTCTCTTTAAATCTATAATACCTACTACAATTTACATATACTCTTTTATTAATAATACAACCCTACCCTATCCAAACTATATAAAATGACCATAAAAAAGGCCCTCAAAATTTTATAACGGCAAAAATTTCCTACATAACCCAATTTTCAGCTTCAGCCACCACAATAATTAATATTATACATTAAATTCATATTACCAAACCAATTCCATGGACTAAAAATATAAGTCAATGGTGCAAAAATAAATTGCCGTAATTCACAAATAAAGTGCCAAATTCCAAGGCAGATGATTATAATTAAGAGAATAAATAGACTGGTCTGAGAAATGCTTCTGTAATATGTTGCAGCATATATGAAACTAAAAAGAAAAACAGAATAAACCGCCCAAGTTGCAAAATAATATTTTCTTCCATAAGTATTCCATTTAAATCTAAGTAGTGCTTCTCCATTTAAATATCTATAGAATTCTTCATTTATTACTTCAACCTTATTTGAATATGTAAAAGGATTGGAAGCAGGTAACACTAATTCTTTCCAAAAATTGTAATCTTGTGGATAAGAAACAAAGTTTGGTAAGGGAATTGCAAGTATGGTTGAACTATGACCCACAGAAAAAAAATCGACAATTGGCTTTATAATTAAATCTGATAAATCTCTATGATTTTTTTGAAAAGTTTCAAAACTTATTCGAAACCTTTTTTGAAAACTAATCCAATGAATCCAAAGATTAGACGTTAATACATCAATAAATGATGTTTTAGATAAATGGCAGTATTTTCCATGACTGGAAAGATGTGAAGAATTTGAGTTTGTGACTACAATCTTAGAACAAACAACGAATCCTATTGCAGATAAAGCGCTTGCTATAAATGCAGGATGATTTTCTGATAATTCTTTAAAGTTTTCAAAAATAATGCTAAACAAAGAAATTTTAGAAATTAGATGATTATTTTCTTTCATACACTTCTCAATACAATTTTGGCCTAAAGATCGAATCCATTTATCGTCATTTAATTCAATAAATCTTTTCATGAGAATTTTTCCGTAGCAATTTAAATAAAATTTTTCTTTGATATTATCTTCCAAAAATATTTTAAAAAGCTGTTTTTCTGCTTTACCGAATTTAATATCTAAATTGTTGTGAATTGTTTTATAACTTGAAGCAGGAAGAATTCTTCTTGGAATCCAGTCTTTAAGTAGACTTTTAAACTTTATCCTTTCAAATTCGAACCCTTCTAAACGATTATTCCAATAATTCCAATAATAATGCATTTTAATTTCAGAATCTCGATAAGTCCAGATAATCACACCAATACGTGTAATCGTAATGAAATCATCATTTTCAAGAACTTCACAGGATAGTATATAATTTTTTCCATCAGGATAAAATGATGGATGAATTTCTAGTGGATTTTTGAGAATCCATTTTTTCTTGCGATAATTATATTCAGTTACGGTAAGTTGGACCGATTTATCGTTTATTTCTAATCCCCACTTTAAAAGTTCCCCTTGAAATTCTTTTTTGTCAGTAATATGCTCATCAATTATTTTGTTTATAATATCGATTGTGTTTTTAGATGGAGATGTAATTCTATTTGTGTCCTTCAGTTCTTTTCGTAAGTATTTGATCCAATTATCAGGCAATAGTTCTTCAATTAAAACTTTTCCATCAATCGTATAAATTATTTTGTCCGATCTTTCATCCGATCGAATTATGTATGGTTCTTGAATTGGAATTTCATTCCTTTCAAAAAGCTCACTTGCATCTTTTGGATATTTTAGGCTATAAGGGTCCATTAAATTATAGTCATTTTCGCTTGTAATATATAATAGTCTCTCTCCTTTTCTAGAAGCGATCAAGTGGATTCTATTGATTGCCAATTTTGTAGTAACTAAAAATAAAACCAAAATTTAATATTAAAGAAATTTACATGATCGGTTATTTATTTTAATAAGTAGACTTACAGAATGACAAATTTATCCCAGTCTGGGTGGAAAAAATGTATAAATTTGTGTCCTTCGTTTTCTCATTTTTTGCACATATTATTAATAATTCTTCATCATCGCTAATTTCAATAGATTCAGGTGTAAAATCCCAATCTATTAAAACACGTGTTTTAATCGATAATTTTTCAACGTCCCACATTGTGATTTCATAAATTGTATCATTAAATATGATCAATTTGCCTTTAAGAGTAATATAAATTTTTTTAAAATATTTCAACTCAATCATTGATTTACATAATTTACAAGCCCAATTAATATTATCGTCAATCGAAAAAACATATGCTCTGTAATATTTAGCGTTGACCATTATAACATTTCCGTTATCAATAAAGGATAAATAGTCAATTTCATTTTGCCAATCTGGAAATTTTAATAATACCTCTTTTTCATTTTCAAAATCAAGAATTTCTTGAAAAAATGTAAATATGATAAATGAAGTTGAATTTTATTGAAATAGTAAGAATACTAAATTATACATAACTTACTGAAATTATAGGGTTTATCTCTATAAAGACTGAATGAAATATATTTATCTGAAATTGCAAAAAATTTTTCCCCATTTTTTGTTTTGTGAATCTTGCCAATATTATTAATTATTTTTTCAGGCTGTTCAATAGGCCAAAGATTGATGTTGCCACCTTCGTACAACGCGGCAACATATTTTAAGTTAGGCGAGCAGACAATTTCCAAAATTTTCTTATTTTTGTCTGGAGTATCCTCCATTGTAATTACGAGAGGATTATCTGACATCTTTAATTTTTAGTAAGAATAATGAAATTTCGAAATTTTAATAATATTTATAACGTCAATAAATAAGATTCAAGATACTAAGCCATAATCTGTTAGTAAATATTAAATATTTGTGGCGATGTAATTTTCAAATGCTTTCTGATTAAAAATACCAATGATACCACCACGGAATTTCGTAAAATTTTAAACTTAAATTGGAATTTGTATATTTGTATATTAATTGATATCTTACGGTGTATTTATATTCTAGTCATTTCTCATTTGATGGTTAGAAAAATTCTAAAATTTGTAGATAAGTATATTTATAGGATCGAGTAAAGTAATTTTAAACCAATTGTATATTAAACAATTACACTCTATTAAATAAAAAAAGCATGCTTATTTTTCAAATTTTATAGGACTTTATTTTTTTAATATTCAAAAGACAATTACTATTTGTACGCGGGGTGTATGTACACGGCGATATCAAAACCAACCGATATCTCAAAATTTCATCTATGGAAACCACCTTTTAGCTTGTAACAAAAAAATTACGTGCAAAATTTTGGTATAAACTATGATCCAAAACCCATACTTACCTTAACCATAAGCAAAGGTTTATTTTTCGGTTGTAAAAATTGTTAATATTTGCATGTTACACAAATTTTAAATTACAGAATTAATAAAATTAATACACAGTGTATGATTATAAATTTTCTATACAAGACAACTACTTTTTTCATATATTAAAACATAAATCTTAAAATATTGAAATTGAAATAGTAAATTTTTGTCAGTTAAATACTATTTATTTCTTTTAGCTCTTTAGTTGATCTTTTAGTTCTTTAATATCGTTCTCAATTCGTGCAAGAGAAGGCTCTTTAGTTGATTCTTTCAGCTCTTTAGTTGATTCTTTTAACTCTTTAATTGAATTTTTCAGCTCTCTGATAGACTCTTCAATTTGTGTAAGAGAGGGCTGTTCTTCTGGGATTAGAATAACTTCTTTAAGATTATTTGAAATGTAAGGCTTTTTATAACCTAACCATTTATTATTTTCGATATCAATTATATGTTCACGAAGTTTAATTATGTGACATTCGTAAAAACTTTTAATACGTGTATAAAAATATGTAAGTAATCGAAATAATGTGTTGTTTTGTTTTTCACATATTCAAACAACTTACATAACAAACGGAAACCAATTTTCTTTTCTTCGTTGGTGAGGTAACATATATAGTATCTCAAGTTCTACAATAATCTAAATAAATAAATAAATAAATATATAATTTAAAATTCTTTAAATAACTTTAAATAACTATATGTTAAAAATATACCTCTCTTATTAAATTCAAATAATCAATATAACTGTTTTTATTATTACTAATTAAATTACTAAGAATTCCGATAAACAAATTCATTAGGTAAATTAGTGTAAAAAATGAAAACACGATTATTAAGAGCATTATTGTAATGTTTTCATTTGAAATCCATGAAGAAATGGGAGTTGAATCTCCTAATATAGCATAATTAAATAGATAATTTTTAAGTAAAACATAAAAGAATAAAGTATTAATAAACTATACAGCATATTACCCGAGATCATCATGTAATAAGCTGCAATGATTGAGGAACTAAATTGTTTAAACATATTTGGATCTAAAGTTTTAAATAATGACGTAAGTTATGAATTAAAATATCTATGATGATCAATTTATTAGGTAAATAAATACCTTGAGATGTCTCAGGCACAAAGTGTAATAAGAGGTATAAGGAGCATGCAAATGAAAATATAATAAACCCGAATATTATTAAAAATGATATTACTTTATCTATAGTATTCATAATCATGGCGATATAAATTCCAAAAAATTGTATGGAACGAAAAAAAATAATAAATTTCAGTTCAAGGAATAAAATTGAAAATGTGATGGCCCAAGTTGGAACAGAACCGTGCTTTAACCAATAAATAGAAGTTGCTGTAGAAGATATTGCTGCACCAAGATCTATTAAGACATAAGAATAATATAAGATTACGTATACATTAAACATTTTATTAAAAATTTTACCTAGATAATTCCAGATACTTGAAAAATAATCTAACGGTGAATAAATAAATTGACGCGCTTCAAAGAATAAATGCCAAAATCCAAGAACAACGGTAATAGTAAAGAAAAAATTTCGATAATCCCAAGAAATATCGTTAGATAAAATCGAAGCATAAATAAAACTACAAAGGAAAGCTGTATAAATTGCCCAAGTTGCATAATAATATTTTTTTCCATAAGTATTCCATTTAAATCTAAGTAATGCTTCTCCATTTAAATATCTATAAAATTCTTCGTTCATGATTTCAAGCTTATTTGAATATGCGAAAGGGCTGGGGCTGGGTAAAAGTAATTCTTTCCAAAAATTATAATCTTTTGGATAAAAAACGAAGTTTGGTAAAGGAACTGCAAGTATTGTTGAACTATGACTTACAAAATAAGAATCGATAATTGGTTTTACAATTGACCATTGAAAAAGATAACTTTCATGAAATTTTTGAAAACTAGCTTGAAAACTGACCCAACGAATCCAAAGAATAGAAAATAATATATCAAGAAACGATGTTTTAGATAAATGGTGGTATTTGCCATAGCTGGAAAAATGTGAAGAAAAAGAGTTTGTAATCACAATGTTAGAAGGAACAACAAATCCTACCACAGACAAAACACTTTTTAAAAATGAAGGGTGATTCTCTGATAATCTATTAAAGTTCTCAAAAATAATACTCAATAAAGAAATTTTAGGAATTAAATGATTATTATCTTGCACAAATTTATCCATACAGCTACCTCCTAAATATCGAATCCATTTATCATCCTTTAATTTAATAAATGTTTCCATGAGAATTTTTCCGTAACAGTTTAAATAAAATTCATCAAGGATATTATCTTTCAAAAACGTTTCAAAGAGCTGTATTTCTTCTTCGCCAAATTTAACATCCAGATTTTTATAGATTGTTTCGTAATTAGAAGCAGGAAGAATTCTTCCTGGAGTCCAGTCCTTAAAGAAATTTTTAAACTTTATCATTTCAAATTCGAACTGTTCCAAACGATCATTCCAATAATTCCAGTAATAATGCATCTTAATTTCAAAACGTCTATATGTCCAGATAATTACACCAATACGTGTAATCATAATTAAATCATCATTTTCAAGAATTTCACAACATAGTATAAAATCTTTTCCATTCGGATAAAATGATGGAAGAATGTCTAGATGCTTTTTTTTATCATCTGGGTTCCATTCCATTTTGCGATGATTATAATCAATTGCTGTAATTCTGACAGATTTATCGTCTAATTCTAACCCCCATTTTAAAGATTCTCCTTCAAATTCTTTCCTATTAACATTATAATCATCAGTTAATTTGTTTATAATTTCAGCTATAATATCAATTGTCTTTTTAGACAGAGTTGTAATTCTATTTGTGTCATTCAGTTCTTTTCGTAAGTATTTGACCCAATTATTAGGCACTAGTTCTTCAATTAAAACTCTTCCATCAATTGTATAAACTATTTTATCCGATATTTCATCCGACAGAATAATGTATGGATCTCGAATTGGAATTTTGTCCCTTTCAAAAAGCACACCCGCATCTATTGGATTTTTTAGGTTATAAGGGTCCATTAAATTATATTGATGGTTTAAATTATACGGATCGTCCGAAATGTACAATAATCTTTCCCCTTTTCTGGAAGCGATCAAGTGAAATCTATCTATTGCATCTTTGGTAGTAACTAAAAATAAAATCAAAATTTAATATTAAAGAAATTTATATTATCGATTATTATTATAATACGAAGACCTACAGAATGACAGATTTATCCCAGTTTCGGTGGAAAAAATATATAAACATGTTTTTTTGGTTTTCACATTTCTTGCACATACTACTAATAATTCTTCATCATCACTAATTTCAATAGATTCAGGTGTAAAATCCCAATCTATTAAGATACGAGTTTTAATCGATAATTTTTCAACGTCCCACATCGTGATCTCATAAATAGTATCATTAAATATGATCAATTTGCCTTTAAGAGTAATATAAATTTTTTTAAAATATTTCAGCTCAATCATTGATTTACAATCCCAACTAATATTATTTTTATTTGAAAAAACATATGCTCTATAATATTTAGTATTGACAATTATAATATCTCCGTTCGCAATAAAAGATAAGAAGTCAATTTCCTTTTGCCAATCTGGAAATCTAAATAATACTTCTTTTTCATTTTCAAAATCGAAAATTTCTTGAAAAATAAGAATATGATAAATACAATTAAATCTGTTAGATGATAAAAATATAGATTTATGTATAACTTACTGAAATTATAGGGCTTGTCTCTATCAAGACCAATTGAAACACATTTATTATTTGAAATTGCAAATAACCTTTCACCTTTTCCTTTGGTGCAAATATTATTAATATGATTTGTTTTTATGTTCTTTAAAAGTTTTCCTTGATTATCAATAGAATAAAGATTAATATTGCTATCTTGGTCTAATGTAGCGATATATTTCGAGTTAGGAGAGCCGACAATTTCCAAAATTTTCTTATTTTTATCTGGTGTCTCCTCAATTTCAAGTTTTACATGAGAAATATCGGACATTTCTAATTATTTTTGATTAAGTTTTTAATGTGAATAATGAAAATTTCAATAATTCTTATAATAATAAGCAAAATAATTTAATAAAAAATTTGGGCAAAGATTTTCAATCGTATTTTAAAATTTAAAAGATTCAAATTAAGCCACAATATCTTAGTAAATATTTAAAAATATTTGCGGCAATGTTGTTTGCTATGATTTCTGCATTTTTAAATCCCGATAAAAAACTGTTAATTTTAAAATATCGATTATGAAACTGCTTTTCCGATTCTAGACAAAAAGTTCTTCATAAAATTTTAGTATAAACTATTGCCTTACCATAAACTAAACCTACTTTAACCTAGGTTTAAGTGAGGTTTACCTTTTTTTTGTAAAAACTTTACATAAATATATAAATTGGATGGTGCGCTTAGGGATTACGCCAATTTGCAATAGCATGATCTGCGATAGCATATTTGCATATCGGGCCAATTTTGCATAATTAATAGAGAAGAGCAGAATAAGTACGTATAATTGTAATTTTATTAGAAGTCGTATTGGTAACGGAAAAATTCGGAAATTTCGACACGAGCACGTAAAAAATTAGGAATAATTTTTGATAAATAGCTTGTTCCAACTATAATGAGTTACGTGCATTTTTTGCGAATTCAACCTCGAGCACTAGTCGTACTGGTGTTACTTTAATGTGTTAAACCAGTTTTAATTGGGTTTAAGATATAAGAAATGAAACTCGAGTCGCATAATGTTACTTGATTCGCATAATTTGCAGCATAAGTATCTGCGCAAAACTGGGAGCGAGAGAAATCTATGCAGACACCATTTCAGTCACTGGTAAACCATATTCTTCATTGCAACCCATTCCTGGTATAAGAAAATGGCTCTTTATAAAAGAGGTTGATAGTATTTGCAATCTGAATATTGGTTTGGATTTCAGTGAATGAGCCTAAAAACCTATTGATGAAGTCAATGTTTGACTGATAATTTGCTATATAGTGTCATGGTCGAGACGGCAAGTCAGTCGCTTGGCAATCGGATACGTCGTGTAACCTAGTCGATAAGAGACGGTTAGATTTGGCGAGTGGCGTGTTTATGATCGTAGGTATTACAATGTAGCAAAAGCAGGAAAGTATTGGGATTAAAATTTATTACAAGCGTTCACTACTCATTCTCGTAGGGCTCGAAGCCTTTATTATATATCCTTCTATTACATATGCACTCTTAAAGGTACAAACGTATTAAATCTATTAAACATATTATCCCTCCTATACCTATAGATGTGCCATTTATATGATATCTGAATTTTTTTCGCGTACAGTACGTATACTGTACGCGGCATATCACTACCTATACCCCCTTAACATCCTTTATTACTTAATACCCTTATTTATTATATAACCATTTTCCCTCTATTTCCCTTATTACTCTTATCACCCTAATACCTTTATATCTGCTAATAGTTCTAAACGACTTTTACGACCGATAATCCCGGGTTTAGGTCAGCGATAGTGAATGAAATAGGCTGTATAGCACGAAATAGGGACAACAATAGGTGAATGTATATGCAAGATATCAATAAGGGATGTGGGATCAGGAGGGATAGTTTTAATATTTTAAATATAATGATATCATTAAGGGAGATATGAATTAAGTTAGGGGTTAATTTATACGATCATAAAGATGTCTTCACGATAATGATACTAAGGCCATGAAGATGTATTCATAAGAATGATACTAAGGCCATGAAGATGTATTCACAATAAAATAACAATACAATAAAGCAATTCAATGTATATTAGAACATTTTTATAAATATTAGATGAGATTAAAATCTGTCTTATTAAAGTTCTAAAACCAGGTCTTAAATACATGATTTGATACATATAAATTAATGATCTATTTATCTCTGCTGTCCATTTGTTTACTTACACCTTCTGCAAAACCCTTCCATCTATTCTTTAATTATGTTCAGGCATCAAGGTGTCATTATTGATATAGTCATCTTTATATGTAACACTGCATATTGATAATAAGTAAACACCTTTTGTTTACAAGAACCATTATTATTGATAGATAACTTTTCATCTGTGATCTTGCTAAATAAAGATGACAACGTGACTCTTCAATAAAACTGATAGTATAAACAACTGTAATATGAAAGATAAATAACAAAAAAATAATTTTGATTCATAGTTACAGTATCAAATGATCTTATGTCTATGAATAACTATCTATAGTAATAATACCATGCTATGTATACAAGACATAGAATAGAAAATTGACTATATAAAATATATATAATAGAAAATTAAGTATATAGAATATATAAAATAGGAAATTAGTGATCTAATAAGTAATACAAAAAAAAAAGAAATGGCTGTTATATTATTAACATATCATATAATCAAATTTTAAGAATAGAAAGTACTATCAGAATAATGACAGTAACAATCTTCTCTTTAATAATTGAGCTCTTATAAAATAGTTAAAGATTTTGTCTAAAATTGATAAAACTCTAATCTGTTTCCATAAGTTATTTGTTTTAACACTTTATCATCAAGAGTTTGAAGCTTATAGATATTATTTCTGAGAATGTCATGAATGTAAAAAGGGTCTTTTCATTTCTTCTCCAATTTGTCTTTATGGGTTCTCTCTAAGAATAAATAATAGTGAAAAACCTAATTACTGATAGAGTAAATTTTAATCAATATTAACATTAAGAGTTTTACATATTTTTAATTATACCTTTTGATATACAAACTAAATTAGATAAAACAACCATAATTGGATTCAGCTCACTAAAACAGTTTTAATAAGCACAAGATTATATGATTTAGATTATGAAATTACAAGATCAGAATGATTTTGAAGAAAGCACTAATTTTAATACATGTAACTTGATTCTAATTGATTTCTATTACTGTGCTAGAAATCTAACATTTCTATTATTTTTAATAAATTTATTATTTCTATTAGATGAGAGACCAATTCTGTAATTCTCTTTATAGATTACTTGTACCAAAATTTTGTTAAAAACATTTAATTATTTCTCAAAATTTTATTAAGTAAATCTTACTTATACTTTTAAATAAACTTGTTGAGTTAACTTTTCTTCTTCTAGGTGGTCAGGTTTTGGATTTGAACAATACCTGGTTTTTGAGAAAAGTTTTAAAAACTAAGATTTTGGTTTTTACTCTTTTATTATATATTTTATTAAGTTAACACATCTTATTTCTTAATAGAAAATTACTAAGCAACTCAAACCGATCATTTTGATATATAATTTATTATAAACAAGCTAAAACTCACTAAGTTATTAACAAAAAAGTGAAAATTTAAACCTGTTTTTGCAGGTTTTTTCATTGGCATTTTAGGAAAAACTGCTAAGTTGTCCTGGAAATTTTACTTTTCTGACACCCATTAAGCTTTCCTAAACATCCAATTAGCCTTTACAAATACATCACACTTCACAAATTGTTCTTAAATAGTCTAAAAGTCCAGATAATTAAGAAATTTTTCTTAAAATCAGCATTATACAAATAATTCGTACTATTTAAAATTTATAAATACATATTGCCAAGCATTAATACTGTAGAACCTGACTACTTCGATCTTGATAATTATATTGCCAAACATAGTAACAGTTCTAATACTGTTACTCATGATAGCAACATTCATACTCTTAAAATCTTATTTATCAATTTTAATCCTAAAATATGTGATCTTCAAAACAACTTATATTTCTTTATAAAACCTACTGAATCTGTCATTACTACTTGTTATTACAAAAAATATTATACCTATTTTACTTCTCAACACATTACAATTTCAGCAAATCCTCAACTAACTTCTGAAAACACCTTCAATGCATCTAACTCTATGGAAATTGATTTTGATATAAAACTTTTCAAATCTCTAAAAAATCTTTCAAGATCTAAATTTTAACCAAAACATGAAATTACTTACTCATTCCCTACCTTCTGTAGTGATATTAGAAAAATCTCTACAAATCCTGTCTCTTTTAAACCATTCTCTCATTATGTATATACATGCATTATATATAAAATCAAGAATATACTATGTATTATTCTTAAAGATAATAAACACTCACTTGACCCACAAGCTCTAATTTTTGTAACTAGTGAAGGAAGCTTCCCTGCTCATGCACAATATATTCATCTTCTCAAACTTAAATACTTAACTCTCTCAACATCCATGAACTAGGAACAATGCAATTTATATTATAAAATCAAATGCTGACAATTATTAGCTGAAGATAAATACATATTCTTTAAGAAATTTCTCCAAAAATTACTCCCAAAAACCAGAACTACAAATGAATCCAAGGATAATAATTAAACTAAAAACAACAAAACACAAAAAAACCAAAATAATAATAATCTAAAACAAAAAAATAAACAAAAAGAAAAAATAAAAGAATCTATACATAACTATGATACAACAAATAACTTTGACTAGTTCTTGAATTATCTTATTACAGCTGAAATACAACAACATAGTAAATTAAACATATCATTAGCTTTAAAAATTTTTTTATTTCTAAAATCATACCTTATAAATTTTAATCTTGGACAAGAAATTTCTACTGATTCAACTGACTCAAAACTCAACAATAGACCTCTTGCTAAATACTTATTTAACTACATACTTAACAAAATGGCTAATAGCAAACCTAAGTTTCTAACTAACTTCATCCTTGAAGCCAATCCTGAGTTTGACAAATCTAACTCTATTCTTTTCAAAGTTTTAGTTGAAACTCTCAAAGACTTAGTTGCAAAATTTATAATGATACTTTTATTTTTTTTTTTTGATATTCAACTAGCCTCTTTTGGGCCTAGGGTTTTATTCAGTAAATTGGACATAGAGACTTGCAGCCGAGGCCTCAAAGAAGTCACCTTACATTAGAGAGTACAACTAGTCACACGTATACTTTTGGTGTCTAATTTAAGTAGTCTGCCAATGGTTCTACACTAGCTGCCATACCT